GCTACCACTAGCACCTAAAAGCTCAGCGTAGTTCATGAAATATGACAACGAAAGAAAAATTTATTTGAATAGACAAATAAATAACAACTAAAATACAAATATACGTTCAAACAATGGATCAGGAATATTTTTCTTATGGCAAATTATGCCCTGTTACTTGCAGTGAAGATACATTCCTAAAAACGACCGTCCAGATGAATGGAACCGAAGTTAACCGGAAAGAAATATCTAAAATTCTAAATGAATTGGAAGATGGACTCATTACTGCTAGGAAGTAGTACCACGCTAGATATACCCAAACGAAAGAACGATATTATTCGATACAGGGAACGGTTTTTCAGGGGAGTATTTTCCCTAAGTTGCCATAACGGCTGCAAACCGCGCTTGTAACACCGCAAATGGTCTCCACTGATGAATCTATTGTCTCAGGAGACCAAACTTCATCATTTGCATTGGTGAAGCTAACAAAACTGGTAGGCTTATTATTGCTCTGTATTCCCATATATGGTTGTAGTTATGTATGAGGAAATATTGAATCAAATAAATTGGAAAAAGCAATAACAAAAAGCCCTTTAAAGGAACTAGTATTAAGACCTCCATCTAGTCTGTGACATGTGTAACCTGTTTTATAACCAAAGAGACGGAGTTATCATGGTTTCTTTATTTAGGTTCTGTCCGAGATGATGTCTTAATGATAAGCCTAGAAATAAGTAATTATCAGTCTTCATTTGTCTAAAAGATGGATTGATAACACGTTTATTCCTCGTGATGCGGTCTGCTCAACGATTCAACTGTGGTCGGTCATCTTCATCTTTCATGATTGGAAGAGTGTTGAATTCCACAATTCATCTCTTAGATGTTAAGTTAAAGAGGAGAAATGATGGTTTATTGCAAATGCAGATCTGTCAACCACTACAAGAGTATACGCTATTACTATTCCCTTAGAATTCTTAGCGGAACACAGGGCTTCAGTAGCAAATCTCGATTTCACTCTTTTCTCTGCAGTCATTTCTACCTGACTTTATGATTGCACATCTCACTTCTCTATTCATTTTCTGGAATTATGAACCTTTATATTTATCATGAACACTACCATTTTCCATTCCATTGGTCAGAATACGTGGACAGACGATTTATTTTATATGTTATATAGCATAGCTAATTTAATTTTATCACAGAATACTTTGATTGAACACTAGTAATTAGTGTAATATGTCTAGTCCTTTGTTTAGTACAGACTGAATTCTCTCAGTCAGGTTTGAAATGTGGTCACCATTCTAGGTAACTAGCTACCAAATCAATATGCTTCCTGCCGATTGCCCCAACCATATAATATCATCAAATCAATGAGCACTGTGATGGTGAGCTACCTAGAATGATGACCACATTTCAAACCTGACTGATAGAATTCATTCTGCACTAAACAAAGGACTAGACACATCACAATATTTACTAGTGTCCAATCAAAGTATCCAATACAGTCCTACAGGAAGGATGCCAATCGCGAGTCCGAATAGCTCAGCAGTAACGTCTCTGACTTCAGCACTGGGTGGCTGGGGTTCCAACCACAGTTTACAGATAATCCTTTCTGACTGGTGAGTGCCAACTAGCACGAAACCTAGGTCCAAGGTTTCCTGCAGATTGCCTCCAACCATCTAATATCATTTTACCACCAGAACCCCACATTCAATGAAACTTTGTGCCATCAAATAGTCGTGACGATTAACTTCTATTGTGAAAATGTAATGTAAAAAGGAAACTAATTATTCATTATTTACTCTTTTAGAATTCAAAATATCACTGAAATTTAATAAGGTTCACTCTTTCGTTTACTGATCGAAAAAGAAATCAGTCAGAACTACACATTTATGACCTTTTAAAATTACTTATTCTTGTTGGACAAGAAAAGATAAATACACTGACAGGTGAACTTGTTTGCTTATTAGTATCATGCTGTGTGTGCTACTTACAAGTAGATTCATGAATTTAAGTAGTGATATTTAGTCCCGGTTATTACTAACAATGTTTTCTTCGTCAAATACTTATCGCTGAACCTATTATATATTTCTCGTAAAATAATTGGGAATCGATCATTATTTTCACCTGGTTCTTGACCTTAATCACTTCTGCATATGAAATGTAAACACCAATAAAAACAGTGTGCTATCAGGCGCATTAATATCTATCAGGTCTTACAGTAATGATTAAATCTGAGAATAAAAGATATTTCTTGATATCTATTAAACTAATTTTTCAGTGAACTTTAAGAAATCGTGAAATAAAGCTTGAAAGTTCTTTAATTTGGCTACCTATATTGCTTCTCCTAGGCATTACATAATACATGTGTTTCATTGCACTATGCAGGGGAAATTTGTTCTTACTAAGTGAGATCTAAGTAACTAAATGGCATATTAGAGAAAAGTAGCTTTCCAGTGTACTTCACCTTACAATGGTCCTGTGGCAGATGTTGCTTCACAACCAAATGTACATGAATAATATAGTGGGGGATATGCCAAAGAACGTATATTTGAAGAATAAATGCAGAATGCTATATACAGTTGTGAAATGATGATTGTCGAGATACTACTCTCGTATCTTACCTATTCTACTTTACTGCTTCCCATTAGTCTTTCCTGGGCTACTGAAAAAGGACTACACTTATTTTTTTTATTTTTATTTTTTGATTACAGCTGGATTCCACACCGTATTTTTGGTACAAGTATGGAATTTTCAGCGTGAATATCGGTAGCCCAAATTTTGCAGGCCATCCATCCTGAGAAGGATGTTGAAGGTGGTTAGTAGGACTAGTGGTTTAAAACTCAGTCAGTTCGTCACTACATTGGTAGAAAGACATCTGAATACATGCGTAAAATGGTCAACAGCCATACTCCCCGACCCCCAACACTCCTTCTATTCCCAACTCTCTCCTTGCATCTCATCAGGTAGAACCAGAAATCAGTACAAAATAATATATGCTCGGACAACTAAGTATAGGAACTCAACGATACCATATTTGGCCCGTGTTCTAAGTGACAGAGGCAGTGTTAAGCGCGAAACCTATGACTTGCTTTGTTGTTAATAACATAATTTCGCCTCTTTTATTTCTCTCTTATTTGTATTCTATAGTGAGCACCTTCTTGAACATACTTAGCTACCTAAATTATTAACATTGGCTTACTTACTTTTTTTTTTTACTTTTTTGTACTTTATTCCTTCTTTCGTGTATCTACTGGTTTCGACTATATTAGCACTATGAGTATTACAAAACTCTCCGGTCATTAACCTTCATGAAATATTAGTTTTGTGGTTGTTTTGTTCAGCAATATTAACTGACAATCTTGGTTGTGAATGCCACTATTACCATCTTAAAAATTTTGTATTATGCAGAATTACTCACACTACCACCACAAACACCGCATTAGACCTGACAATAAAAAACCCTGAAATGTTTATTTTATGATTATTTAGTGTTGTTCAATCAAATTAACTGATCGTCATGGCGATAAACTGTAAACACTGTGCGATTTATCAAAATAAAAATCTTATCTATAATGGAATTATACTCTACCACAGTGCCCAAGTTTTATACTTATATCAATGGCGATAAACATTCTTAATATCATTTCATAACTTCTTGTATGATATAGTTTTACCGTTCACCACGCATAAACATATCATAGCTTCCACTACCCAATACTAAGATATTATTCATCATGTTGTTTATTTTCCATTCTACTTCTTGGTATTTTTTCGCATTTTTTTTGCTATTTTGTGTTTTTTCGTCGTTGTTTTTTTATATTCATTTTTTGAAATACTCCTTTTAAATGTTTTATAAAATTAGATGCAATATTGTAGATAAGTGCTGAAAATTCCACACTGTACCACTAGTACTGTTTCTGGAATAAAGCAAATTATTATTATTATATATATGGTAAGGATCTCATAACATATGAATGTGGGGTTGGTGCGTGTGGGCTAGTATGTTAAAGCAAATAAGGGTAATAAAACTTGCACGGAACTGAGTGGGTTTAGTACTGGACGAATTCAAGCTTAACAGTACAATAATTTTGCTCACTTACATAAAATGTTCGAAATATTCGTAAATAATCGACATTCAAGTTTTGGATGGTTATAAGGGATGAACAGGAAGTCCAATACCTCAGTTTTATGCTTACTGACCCGTATCAGCACAGCATATCTGCAAAATCGAGAAAAATAATGTCCCCTCCGAGATGATAACATAAATCACTCAATGTTACATTGAAACAGATTGAACTACCATATTCGGGCAGTAAGTGACTGTACTGTTGTAATAGACATAATGACTGATAACTAGGGGCTAACTATTGTTAATTAGTACTACCTTTAGTGCTGAGTGGATCCTGTCTTCGTCAAGTTAACAGTGGAACCACCGAAACTGAAGACTCACCACCTCCGTGATGGAATCCGAAAATAGCCTCTTTCTGAACTGCCTTGGTTTGCAACTTAAAATTTCCCTAAATTCGCATATTAAATAGTTGCATTACTTTTTTCAGTGGTCAGTCATACAACACCTGTTATCACCATCTAGCTTTGAAATGTTAGTCTGCATTTTATGTGAAATTCAGAAGGTTTTTGGAGTTTATACTCTCCGGCTTTTCAGTGACTTCTTTTTGTGAATACTTTTTACAAATAATTAAGCACAATGCTTCCTAAATAATCGTGCTTTAAGCAGACCTATTTTTGAAGCATATTTAACAATAAAATACTACTACCATATAATTTTTATACATTTCGTCAACTTCTTTCCTTTCGCATGGAAAATTAATTACATCGGATGTTCATAATTTATTTGGCATATTTTAATACTGATGAAAAGGAAATCAGGTAACCTGGATACAAAATAAGGGAATTTGACTGGTGACACTTGTATTAGATGCACTTCGGTTGTTTTCCATTCATCCAATAACTTCCTAATTCGATGAAAATAAATTCTAAACCAATGGAAAATGGGAGAATTATATATATATATATATATATATATGCCCATCTGAAGAATTTGTGATAACTGCATCCTGTTATGAACAAGGTTAGTAATTGAAGTGTAACTTAGTAAATTTCTAAATAACCTGAAATTTATTCTGGAATTCAGATAAAATGTGCTCATAATTTAGATTTGAAATCAGTGAGAACTATTATTTAGGTAGTACTCATGTTTTTAGGTACTAATAATTATTGCTGTTACTTTCCAGAATTTTTTTCTAATCTCCCACATCTCTCTGTTTCCTTGTTTTCTCAGTGTATGTTGAAAGATGGATGAAATATTACCCTCCTTAAAGACATGATTATTATCTAAGGTGTAATCAGATATCCCTCTATTAGTCTCAGCATGTTTGAAAGTAACTCACGATAAATTTGCCTTCCAAGTGAGCTCAATTTTACACGTAAGAGATCAGAAAGAATACGTGTGTTTCTTAAATATGCTTATTTTATAAGTGTTTAACAAAAGTGTCAGAGACAACGGATTACTGAACAGGATTTCGTTATTATGCAAAGGTTCTAAATTTATTCTTCTGTGACCGTGTAGCTGGCTATATGATATCAGCAGCAATATTTGGTAATATTTGTTTTTAACTGTGTTGATGTCCAGTTGAGCTGTTGTACTCCAGTTGAAATATTATTCAACATCTGTGGAGAATGTAGCTGAATTAACCGCTGTGCGTCGGTGGCACAGCGGTTAGGATGCTTGCCGACCATGCACATGGTCCGGGGTTCGATCCCCGGCCACAGACGCACTCCTTTACCTCGCTAAGCCAGAAATAATGCTGGTAAGGAGAAAAGGCTGGGCATGAGGCTAGCAACCCCATCCTGTAAAAAATAAACACTTCTACAGAAACTTCAAGCCACTAGTTTGAAGCCCCATGTTCCACTGGAGAACGTGAAGGAAAAATTTAAAAAATTAAATTATTAATTTAAATCACTCACATAAACATAAGTGTTTCTCATATGGTTATATTATGTCCATAGAGTTTTCTGATTTCATATCTTTGGAAAGTCTAATTTTTTCTAAGTTGTAGGTTATCTATGAGATTAACAAATATATAGTTAGTAATCAGGACTTTCATTAACGTGCAAAGAAAGGTTACAGGCTTTTTTAGTTTGTAATTTATATAACACATCTAAACGCAAATGTAAAATCTGACACATAGACGATGGAATCTGCAAAGTATTCTGCACAAAAGTGTGAATCTGTCTGAAAGCACCATTCTCAAATTTTCATCAAATTTTCTCTTTCCTAGTTATGCTTCTAATTTTCCTTAACACATTCATTGATTCTAAATCTAAGTGTTTGGTGTATTTCCTAGCATTTCCCATCATTCAAGTGTGCTTTTATAACATAAGACAACTAGAAAAACTGAAAACACCTTGCACTACAAATGGAATCTTCAGGGTCAGTAAAGTTCTTTATATACCGTTTATTTCAAGTAGAAGACATTCTACTTTGATGACTTCTGTGCATAATCACAAGCAGTAAGTAAGCATAGTGAAGTAGTTTTTAAGAACCAATGACCTTTTTCTAATGAATAGGTAATAATAATAATTTATTGTTTTCTGAGGGACAGTAAACATCTGTTCAGTGGGGAATTATTTCTTCTCGTTGATTTCGTTTTGATGCTCTAATGTCGTACATATATTAGGTAAAACGGAAGCTAGTGTCATTAACATGTCGTCAATTCAGAGTAGTTGAAAAACTAAGCATAATACTTTTGGGGTCGGACATTGGATTAGATTACATGAATAACAGAATTAGAAAATGTTACTAGAAAAGTGGATTGATAGTAAGAAGTTTGAAATGAGTCAAGTGCTGTCGAAGAAATTGAAATGATAATTTTGATGAAAGGGAAGATAACGTGAAGTGGATTGAAATGACCGAATGAGGATTATTACGACCAAGATGAAATATGGTATTCAAGTGTTGGTTTGTAGGGATTTGATTGGTTACAGGATTTCGTCATAAGCTGACATTGGTTAGAGAACCATTAGAAAACATGGGAGTACTGGACAGCTGTTTCGTCCTAGTTTGGGAATCTTCAGCAGTACGCACCCACCGGGATTTGAACCTAGGACCCTCTGGTTACAAGGCAAGCTCGTATACCATTAAGCCACTGGGACCCGATGCAATGGCAGCCTGTAAATTCTAACTTCTGCCAATTCACGATATAGCGCGACCACTTACCAGTGTCTTCGGCGAGTATTTGTCCTCACACCCGATCTGCTGCACCCTACTGGTCACGATGTTTAACACGGTGTTTAACAATGTCTTTCTGAACGATTTGTTGAAGGCTTTCTTTCACACATAGTTTCAGTAACACACAGGTTTGAAAATGTTATCTTTTCGACTGAAATGCGTGTATTAGTCAGGACAAATTCAAGACATCAATCATAAGTCTTTTGTAACCTGTCTCTTGTTTATGCTTATGTATGTTGTTTTGCAGAATATGTACTTTTAAATCTCATAATATAAATATTTCTAGTGGGTTTTGTTTCGCAGCACTCTACAGTGTTTATTTTAGTGCCTCAGTTCCATGATTTGATTTGATTTTTTTGATATCTGCAGTATTGTATGCAATTTTCTACAGCCTTTAAGTAAATATTCTATTTCTATAGAAAGAAAATAAGGATATTATGAAAGTGCAAATCCTTTCTTATTATTTTTTATTTATCAACCCATGTTTTTTTATTAAATAATATCACATGCAAGTTCATCGTGCTTGTAGTATATTGCTAAACTTCTTTTTGAAATGTATGTGTGTACATTGTTTGACAGGCTTTTCATCCAGGCGACGATAATCAACACCTTGGCATTTAGGGAATAATCATCTTGTGGAATTTACAGGAATTGTATTTGTTTATCTTGAGAATCATTGATACTCTTAAGTCAAAATTAAGTTTGAAGGTATTAATAAGAAGTTATTTTTCCTCACCATAAGTTGGAAATAGTGCTTTGTATCAATTTAGCGTAAAAATATGCTTACTATAGACCATATGTATCAAAACGCTTAGTAATACTATTATTTGGATTCTACTTTTGTTATTACAAAGCCGGTCTCACTGAGATCAGATAAAAACAGTAGGCCATTAAGTAATATTAGATCGGAAAGAACAAGAAGTTCAGCAAAGATATCTTTTCAGCGATTTCATTCTCAAAAGCTGTACAATCGCATTTATATAGATTAGTTCACATGGATACAATTACTATTTGTTTAATTCCACATAGTAACGAAGCTGATAATAATTTTCAACTTGAAATGAAAGTTTGAAGGTAGGAATATAGATTACAAGGGGCTCAGAGACAAGATTGCATAGGATTAGAAAACAGTTACAATGTATGCAAAGTTAATATTTGATAACTGGAGAGATAATTTTAAAGGCGAATAAAAAGGGATAATTATTTTCAACTTGATATGAACTACAAGAGGCTTAAAGACGCAGGGATAGAATGAATTACAGGTGTGAACAAAATGAGCATGGAAACAAAATGAAATCAAAATTTTCAACTTGAAATGTAGGTTAGGAGGTGTGAATATAGATTACAAGAGGCATAGAAACAAAAAATTACACAGGATTAGAATATAATTGTAAAATGGTTATTCTAAACGGATTACAAGTGTGATCAGGAGGAGCATGGAAACAAAATTAAAATAAGTGATTTTAAGACTGAAAAAATAGGATGAACTGAATGGAGGCAAAGAGAGAAAATTACACAGAGATAACAAAACAACAAAAAAGAAGGATAGGAGAACATACCGAACTAGGTTTATCGTAGTTGTAGAGGCTGGACTAGTTTCTTTTGAACACATAGCTCCAGCTCTTCGATGCATATGGCGAGAGCTTCCCCAATACAAAGAAGTCGGAAACACACTGCCTTTGGTAGATTTTTGCTCACTTTGTAAATGACTTTAAATGATGAGTCAGTTGAGATTCTGTGACAGGTATTGACAAGATGTCCAGTTATTGCGCTTCTGATTGAACCAGTGCCTCCTCTTTGCAGCCATGCTGGATGATGTTCTCTAACACATTTTGATAAGACCCGCATAGAACGACCTATATACCTAGCTCCGCAAGAGCAGATGAACTGATATATGCACTTTGAAGTGGTCATATGCGGAAGTCGGTCTTTCCCGTTGCTTCGAAGTAGTGGGCGGCTAGAGAATATCAATCTTAGAGTTGCTGCCGGAAAAGTCTTCTTCAGGGAATTGGAGATTCTCCTTTTAAGGATATCTGCTGCGAAGTCTTCCCTGAATCCCAGATTCAAATAGACTGTCTTCTTTTGCACTGAAGCGCATTCTTCTCTTTTTGGCCTTGGTTTCATGTTCTTCTCCAGGAAACGAGGTGGGTATCCATTTTGGACCAGGATGCTTTTGAGAAATAGGAGCTCTAATGTTCCAATCTCAATCTAATGTTCCAATGGGTATTTTCCACATCAAGTAATAGCTTTAACTTTTCCACTGAAGATGGCAATACTCACTGCAAGGAGGCTTCATATTTCTGAAGGAAATGAATCCAGCTTATCTTTCTTATTATCTGTGTGTTTTCTACATGTCTGTCAGTTAAACTAATAATCCAAACTGACCATTTTTATTGTTTAACTGTTAGGTATCAGATATTTCACACTGTAACGTGTTGCTGAACTAAATATTTTCAAATGACTAGGTCATAATACCGATCGCCTTATTTCAAACGATAATTTTGCACAGAATGACAATAAGAATTTTCAGTATTTTGATATTGAAACAAATTTTTACAAATAAAATTGGAAGATATGTTCACAAAATTTGCAGTGTGCACTAATTTAGAGACAGTTTCTTTTTGATTTATTTTGCTGTGTTTCATTTCTTCTTTTCATCCTATACAAGTTGTTTGTTGGATTCACGGGGAAAACAGAAATGCTGTAGAATGAAACGTTTTTACAAATGTGCCAGTGAAAATAATGTTTGCCAATATTTTACATTGGAAACATTCTGTCCCTTTAATGAAGCTCGACAGTGCTATTAAATGACAGAATTTATCTGAAAATTGTGATGTATT